AACTCATTCATGGTCCAGTTACACTGAGCTTGTTAGTGCTGCAGCAGCACATACAAATACAGCACTTTGTTCTTTAAAGGCAAAGCAAAAGATCAGAAACATCAGCTGTAGCCCTGGCTCTGCTGAGCATGCTGGGAAACCTTAGTTACCACAAAAGCCAGCCAGCTGACTGACACAGGAGCAGGAAAGGGCACCTTTCAGAGCACAGGGCCTCCACAACTTCCAGAGGCCTCACAACAACAGTGCCACGTGCTAGGGCTTCAGCGGAGTTTGTGGCATTGTCCTATTGCCAGTCAACAGTGCCACTACTGTTAGCTCACTTCTCCTCACATCTAATGAGATTAGGCTCCAGTTAGCTTAGGAACATCCATTTGTTGGGATATTAGACTAAGGACTGCATTTGGATGGCTTAAATCTCAAGTCTCCACTGTATCAAGTTTCTATCAAGTTTCCAGCCTTGATTGGCTCAAATGATCTCAAGCAAGCTTCACACCCTCTCTGGTCTCAGCACAGTAACTACACCTGAATCTGGCCTAGAAGGCCTTCTGCTCCTTGTTCAAAGATTAATTTCTTTCTGCTCCCTGAAGCATCAGGGCACCCTGCATTTGTTGTGGGAAGAATCTGTACATTCAGATTACCTCCAAGTGAACCTCTGCCTCTTTGCTTTAAGTTACACTTCCCGCGAGTCACTGACCAATTCTGTCACTTCGGAGTTATTCTTAATTTTAGTAACAGTTCCTCAACTGAAAACAAGCTCCTCTTCCCTCTTGCAGTGCCTGGGCTTTATCTGATTGAGATTACAGCACGCTTACAGTAAAGGAGCCTTGGCCGTGCCTTCAGGACCAGTGTTCTCTGACAGAGTCCCAGCAGCTCTGTTGTGAGATGCGCGCGAAATGAACAATGCAATCCCAGCAAACCATGAACTGTAAAGACCCAGAGTTTCAGAGGGGAATTTATTGTATGGGAGCATCCGATACTTTTTGTCAACCATTCATGAGAATAATAAAAAATAGAAGCTTTTTAAATGACAAAAAAATATAGTTACATATAATACAGATTTTCATCTTGCATTGAAACGGAGCAGTAATAAAATGCTCACTCGTGTTTTCACAGTTTGTGTTGCTTCTCTAGGTTAAAGCATCAGCAACTCAAGTGTTCCAGTCAGAACCCCTAGTTAGAAGTTTCATGGGATGCTGGTGAGGGTGAACACTCTCAGCATTCTGACACACTTCACAAGTACAGCAGGCACACTTGATCCATTTCAGAACTACTAAAATTTTCAGAGGTACCAGCTACAATAGAGGCGTCCTTGCTGCAACTGAAAAGGTTTTGTATCAGAACATGTTTTTTAGGCCTCAGTCAGACACACATCTGTGGAACACTCAAAAATGTCCTTAAATCCAATGTGGTTCAAAGGGCTTCGAGCTGATCCTTTGTGACCCCCTTGTACTGCCCGCACATGCACACATGGGCACAAAGCTCTAACTAGTACTTGGTCACATGTGTAAAGTTCTTGCAAGGCCACAAAGGATTTAACATTTTTCAGCACTCCACTTAGAGACCTAAAGGCATTCACTGAATGCATACCTTGGTATTTACTACACACACTTACAGCCAGCCCCCAGTATTATTGCAATAATTGTTTGCTGGTATAATAGCTCATACACCAAGTTTCACTTATTTAGTTTTCTACAAACATAGAAAAAAAAAAACACCTGAAGAGAGCTAGAACAGCTTTCAATCAGTCACTATATTGGCATTGAAAGCTTTATTTTTGAAAACTTTAAGCAGCAATACTGAATAAATAGACAGAATGATTGTTTTGTCATCTCCATACAACTGATGGCCTTCATCCAAAACATTAAAATACTGTAGCAAATAGAACAAACATGCACATTTCAATGTTCTAAAAAACCCCCCCAAACAAACAAACAAACAAAAATAGAGGTGTAATACAAAACTAACACTTTGACACTTTTTTTGATACAGTACAGACCATTAGAGACTATTTTCTGGAAAAAATATCTGAATACAGTTTTGTTATTTACATGTATCATTAAGGCCTAATTCGCTCAAGTAAATGCACATCAGGAACTTATATGCTTCAAGGTAACTCACTAAAAATCACAAGATTGATGTTTCTTTGATCATACTCATATGACCCCAGTTCACTAAAATAATGCAATACTCCACACTAAAAACAAGGCAATTGCTGCCCCAAGAGGAGATGTTTATTTCACTAAAGGATCTTTTCCCCTCTTGCCTCATATGTTTGCATATTGTTAATGCTAGCAGTGGTAGTTCTCTTCTTCAAGAACTTCCTCCGAACTTGCCAGGGCTTAGAAAAGCAAGCAATCTCAAAACTAACATACCATTTCCAGAAGCAATTCAGGCACTTGGGAACCTAAGTCCCACTAAAAGATACTGGTAGCTGACTTTAGAGTGGGACTTGGTTTCTCCCTTGCTCAGGCATTCAAACTGTTCACCTTAGCCTTAACCTACTGGCTTTTCAGATGATCACCCTCCTCTTTTCCCCTAACAACACAGCATCTCCATCCTCATGGATGAGAGAGGTAACACAGTTAATTTCCATTAGTAATAAATAACAGGAGTTCTCCATATAAATTCCCTGTGCACTGGAAAATAGTGCTTGTGTATTCAACTATTTAACGCAAGCAAAAAAAACCCATTTTTATCATGCTGCCCAGTAAATAATATGGCACTTGTTAAAATTAGTATGTGTAGCTTCCTTTCTGCTAATGCCCTAGGAGGTTTGGAACACTTCTGAAAATGGACTTTTTGTACAGTTGTAAAGAAAGAGTGAGTTTCTGCAGTTGATCTGAAGCAAAACTCTAAACGCCATAGTGTGAGGGATTTTTCTAACTCTTACACATGGGTCAATTCACATTTAATGCAAGAGCATGCCATTTCTTTTTGGTTTATTTACAGAGAGGGTGAAAATGCTATGGAACTTCAGCCTGAGTGAAATTCAATAAGCAAGTGGAGTATAGCGGGGGCAGGGGAATTTATCAGTGTCTCACAACTGGCAGGTCTGGACACCAAAGCCTCTCCTTGGCCACAGGAGTGGCTGCAGCTGCAAACGTTTTTTCAAATCACCTTGACATATGCCAAAGCCCTGGCAAGAAGGGGCCACTCAGGGGGTGCTGAAGTGGTCACCCCTGAGCCAGCTCCAGGCCGGCTCCTGTGTCCAACAGTTGCTGCAGTCACCAGGTGCTAGTTTTTAACTCAAGTGGCAAATTCCTCCCTTGATTCTGTGACAAATCTGTAATTCAAGACCTCCTCCTCCCTCTGTCTTGCAGAATAACCTGGCAGAGAAGGAGAGCAGGTTTTATGATACAAGAGCCCAGTTCAGCTCAAACTGACATCTGTGGAAGATGGACCAGTCACAGAATATGACAAAATCATTAGCTGGGGTAAATATGCTGATCTGCCTTAAATATACTTCATCTCAGGACAAGACTCTCCCCCCACCCCCATGCAGCATAATTTGGGCCAGACTTTGCAAGGTGCTGAGTGCCTCAGTTCTCTAACATCAAGAGGTGCTGAAGATGCAAGATATCCACTGGAAAGGGCCATTTTTTTTTTCCATTTCTGTAAATTGTACCCAGAATGTAAGGCATATATGCTTAAGTACCTTGGACAGATATTGTCCCCAAACTATGTATATTTTACTATAAATATATATATATATACATATATATATATCTCCCCATTCTTTTTTTTTTAATTACAAATTTATGGGCACAGTAAACATGAGCACAGAATTGTTATAAACTAACAGTGAAATGGGTGAGCACTGCAAAGGTTCCTCAGGTAGGAATATCTCATTTTCCAGTTTGCTCACAAGGGAAGATGAAAAAAAAAAAAAACAAACAAAAAAAACACCCCACAACAACAAAAAAAAACACACCCAAAAAAAAAAACTGATAAGTCAAACAGTAAAAATTCAGAGCCCATTTGGAAAGGTTGTTTATATATTCACAGCCTTATCTGTTACTGTAAGTCTAAATACAGCAGCATTTTTAGAATATATGATGCCATTAATAAGTGGAAAGGGAAAAAATGCATTAAACACTCAAGAATCCTTCATCTTCTGCTATATCTTCTAAAACTTCAATTTGTCAGGAAGCTCCTTTTTTAGAAAAGGAGACTTAAATTAACATTTATCTGCACATCAGTGAATCAACACAAGAGGATGCTAGGAGTTAAGTATTTTTCTATGGCTAAAAGCTGGAGTTTCCTAGCAGTGGGTAAAATCCTGACCCTGCCAAGGAGGGCATCAGGAGTCCAAGTCTTCAGCACTGGAGTGGGAGCACAGTGTCCCCCCTTGTGCCCACGGGATCTCCAAGGGGATGATGCTGTGAGTTGCTGTTAGAACCAGAAATCCGAACCAGGGAAGGCCCATCCCTTCCCTAACTCATCCATGAGGCCAGCCCCCAACATTTACAGTGTGTCCCACTGATGCCAGTACCTTTCTCCACAAACCTGGTGTCCCCTGCAGCAATCTCACTTCAAGGCCTGCAACCAATGAGCTATTTGGGAGCAGCTACTTTGTGCAGGAAACCCTTGTTGTCTAATTCTTTCTTAGCTTTGATTGCATTAGCACAACATCAAGATGTGATAATGTTCTCTTTTCATACACTTTGCGGAAAAATGACCACCAAATGTGTGAATTTTCTGCTTGGAAGCTACATATTACCTTTTACGTTCTCTAAGTGACTGTCTTTCAAAGGGACCAAATGTCTCCACCAGGGAGCTGAATGAAATCCTGGCCTCACTCCTGTCAATAGAACTCTGCTATTGACTTCTTGGGACTCTGCCAGGTTTATTCCCTTCACAAAACTTGAGAGGATTCTGGAAGGTTGGAAGTGGATACTCATTTGTGTTGTGTCTTTCTTCCCCTCCAACAGCAAGATTTGTAACAAAACAAGAACACTGTAATGGCTAGTGGAAAAAATGAAGTACAAAATTACACACAGTGAAAGCCTCCTACTCTCTTTTGGTAAGATATATGAAGACAACTTCTTATATTGTTCTTTTCTCAAAAGGCATATACAATGTGGCAAAATATTTAAAATATACATTCTATATAATAAAATATTGTCTAACTAGTGCATCCTCAACCATATGCTGGAAATATTTTTACCAAGCCGAGGTTTAAAAATCCATAAATCTTTTGAACACTAGGTGCTTCATTCAAGGCAGACACAACAGCAAGTAAATCCCACAAGCTCACTTTTCAAGCCGTAAAAGGTAGCAATGGATGGAACGTGACATATGATGACCCATGACAGAAATGAACAGTTAGTGGTGAGAAACCACTGTAATGGTTCAGCACCCCTCAGAACTCTGCATTGCAGGTTGTTATACTTGATCAGATGGGGGATGTTGGTACACACAAATTAAAGTCACCTCATCAGACTGACACACAGCCATATGTGATAATTCACAAGTTAAAAATAAAAATACAAAAGGTCAACATTCACAGGTCCATTGATTAAAGGGAATAAATTAAACCTCAGATAAGTTGCATACATAGTTTCCTTCACCCTCAGTCTTCCATTTATGACTATACAAGGAACAATACTTTCCCAAATACTTCTGAAGTGGCAAAAACAATGAAGGTTTTTGCACTCAAGCTGTGTTGACAGCAAGGTCATCCTTGCGAGTTATGAATCGAGACCGTTCCTCTCTATTTAGCATCAGTGCACAGGGTATGGCTCCAAGTGGTGTTGGAGGAAGAATAAAAAATAATATGGTGGAGTAACAAAAAAACAAAACAAGACGAACTTCTTCCATTTATCATTGGCTGATTAAAATAAAGTGTATCTTGTCCAGGGTACCTTGCTAGGTCCTCTCTAGAAGAGGTACATACTGTCATACATAAATGCCCTCTGGGTTAAAACCAGATGACAAGGGGTTCTGTAGGATCCGAAGGTTACTGGGGAGTTGCCTCGATGAGCCAGGGCGCTTCAGTGACCCAGACTGAAAGGCTGGCTCTGCGTGAGAAAAAGGGCAATTAGAAAAGTCATCAGCAGGGGTGCACCTCTCCTCCTCCTCCTGCTTAATGCAATACAGAAAAACTAATTCCACATGTAACAAACTACTGAAGTGCTTGGCTAGGAAGTGAGGAGATCTAAGGTTGCACACTTCCTACTCACTTCATAACAGAACAAAGCCCACACAAAAGAATTACCCTCCCACGAGAAACATGTACACAGACACACACACACTGATATGGTAATGTGCAGAAAGAGCTTGAACGTGTAATATGATGCAAAGCTTCAGCTTCCTTCCCATTTAAAAGTTCCTACAAGCACTGCATTTGAAGGCCTGGTTGTCTTTTCTTCTCTCCCCACCCCCTTGCCCTCACAGTGCCTTTTGGTTATAAAGTTTTCTGAGCAGAGGGACAGACCAGCACAGGAGAATGCCGAGACAAAGAGCCCCTTGGAAGGAGAGTGCTGGAAAAAAGCACACGACTGTGCTGGTGCTGCAGCTCTGATACACATTCAAAATGCTCCCATGGTTCTGCCCAGGAAATTCTGAATCCAGATGTGGACACATGCAGGCTGTGCTGACCTCACTGGGGGCAAAGTCAATTCGCACCTGCCATAATAGCCATCTGTGCAGGACTTCTGCATGGCTGGCAGCCCAGGTGGATCAGCTCCTATTTCCGTGCGGCTGCTGTCTGGGGTTTCTTGGATCAAGACACATTCCTTTTTCTGCTTTGACAACACCCCCACCAAAAGAAGAAGAACCCACACGAACAGCAATGTCAGATGTATGATCGCGTTCCATGCTGGCAGCCAGCCATGGTGGCCACTCTTGAAAGCTGCAGCCTTAATGCAATGCATTGCTGATGGGACAAATGCATGCCCGGGCACAGTGGGAGAGAAGTTCTCCACATACTGCTCTTTATTTAGAGCCTGCTAAACCCTTGGAATGAAAATAAGTACTCGACAATGCGTTCTCACTCTTGTAGTGTTTTGCTAATGTCTTCACTAAGGGAGCATTCACTTCACGTAGGACTGCCAGCATTAAAGTTAATGCTGGCAGTAAAGGCACTGCCCGCCCCTTCTCCCTCCTTCCCTCTCTCCCAAAGCATTCCGAGGGCTGCACCTCTCTCAAGCTCCACATGTGGGGCCTCCACCTCCACGGGGTCTGCTGGCAGCACTGTCACCTTGGTTCCCGTTTGCTGGATGAACTGCTGCAGGTTCACCTGGCGCAGCTCCTTGGTCAGTTGCTCCAGTTCTTGTTCCCTGTCCTGCCAGGAAACAGAAAACATCTGCTGAGCAAATAAAGCAGCATTTCATGACCACAGGTACAGCTGGGCAACTAATGCTTCTCCTCTTGACGAGAAAGCCTCCAAATTTTAAAGCTCAAATGCAAATTGATTAGTTGAAAGGTATTTTCATCTTTTAATTTAAAAAGCCAGTCAACACTTGCTAGCGCTTATGGAATCTATTAGGTTGGAAAAGACCTCTAAGATCATTAAGTCCAACCCATGACCCTAATTGGGTTTTTCTTAATGTATTTTATTTTTATATTCTTCTTGGATGACTAGCAGATGTTTCTCATAGCACCTGAGAAAAACTTTGGCACGTCAGCAGTGCCATAGTGTGAATGCTGAAAAAATAATCAACTGAGCAGCAGTCTGGCACCAAGTCTTACTTCTTCCTGAAGTGTCCAGCATGGCTTGGACAGCTCATTTAATTATTCTGATCTTAAATGGAGTAAAATTTTTTTTTCTTCTTGTTCTTTGCATTTTCTATTTAAACTTTTTTGGCCAGAACCTTCTCACTCTGCAAGGGTTCTGCGTAATGAAGCCCAAGCCTGGCTGGTTCCCCACTCCTTCAAAGCACACATGATCATTTAGGATCTTTTTCTGTACTTCTGTCATGCAAAACTTACAGCTCTGATAGATTATAACAGTCTTGTACTATTATTATTATTCCCACACACAGAGGTTGAGCTGCTTTAATCTTTAACTTCAGGTATGCAATAAAATATTTGTCTGTTTCCTCCCCCTCAAAGCTCCATAATGCAGAGCTCAGTTTATTTTCTTGTGGACTTCCAGATTTGTGCACCTTTAGGTTGAGAACAAGACTGGAAGACCTGAATTGAATGCGAACTTTCCCAAGAAAACAGACTATGAAAAGAACCAAGCCAGAAATATTTTGAACTCCAGCATAGCCTCAGGGAATGTGACTGAGGATAGATAAAACACATAAAGAGGACTTGAAGCTTTCCATCAGTGCAAATCCTTATGTGTAGCATGTCTGGAAACTTAGCATAGATAATCATGGCCAAACTGCTTACAGTTTTCACCCATGAAAAGATTACTTCCCTCCCCCCGCCCCCATCATCTAGGAAAACCAGCTCATACTGACATCATTCTAAGGCAGAAGTAAGGATACAAAATCCCTTTACATATTCACAGTGGAATTACCTTATTGCTGCTGCAATACTGACTGTGAATATACTAACAGTGAATCCTGGGAATCAGTAAGAACCGCAACTCCAACTGATGTGTGGTGCCTTGGGACCACCTTGCATGGCACAATCCCAGGAGCTCCAATACTTCCTCCACCTCATCCAGCTAGCAGTGGAGTTCCTTTATTCTTTCATGCTCTATCAAGTTCCAGGTGATATCATTAACTTTAGCAAGGAAACAGGGACTGGATTCTCTTTTGACACATGTGCCAGAAATGCCTGAGACATAGAGAAAATAAAATCCTGAACACCAGCCAGTCAGCCAGGAAAAGAGGGATGCTGTTCTTTATAACCAAAGCCCTGTAACGTTGCAGGTACTTTACTTTAGCTCTGTACCTTTCCAGGTGCTGCTTTTGGACAGTTCTTTGTAATTCATGTCTTTTCGTGGCAGACAAACCTAGCAAAGATCAGAAGTTTATCCTCAGAAAAGGCTGTGATGGTGCAAATTACTGCTTTTCTTCTCAGTTTGAGCAAGTTAAACACAGGTGAAATAAAAACTGTCTGCTCTCCAAAAAATCCCCACAAGCTGAAATGTGATTTGAAAATGAAAGCAACACATTTTGCCTTTTACCCCGATTCACTTTGGAAACTTATTTTGTGTTGTCTTTCATAGGCTTCAGATTTGTGTAAGAGAAATTAGTCACAGTCTTTGACTTTCTCTAGCTATGGATAAAATTACAGTCTTACCTGTAATCGCTTGGTAGCTTGGCCCAAAGACCTTTCTACTGCTTTAATGCCATTTTCCAATCTCAGACTCTGCTGGCCTTGAATATCAATTTCTCCCTTCACCTTCTCGATCTTTTCCTTGACCTCTTCTTCATTCACCTGGGACTCTTGAACTTCTCGCTGCAGCTTCTCTGCCTCAAGGCCACTCTCCATGTTGTGGATCTGAGACACATAGTCCTTGAGCTTACTCTCACACTCCAGGATCCTCTGCCTCATCTCCTGCAGCTGCTCCATCAGCTGCTTTTCATTCTCTTGTTCAATCTGCAGCTCGTTTTCCCAGAACTCTTCCTCCTCAATCTCCACTTCGTTCCGTTTAATCTTCTGCTCCAGTTTGAGGATTTCTTCTTCTAGGCTGGCATTATACTTTTGCTCCCAGTAGCGGATCTCAGCTTCGTTGGACTCCAGCTGCTTCTCGATGCACTGAAGCTTCTCTGTCTGGAGGTGGATCAGTTTCTTCAACTCGTCCACTGTTGTTTTACAGTTGTTGAGCACCTTTTGCTTGAACTCTGATTCCTTGCTCTTCCCGAAGATGTCCATTAGCCCCTTGGCGCCACCGGTGAAGGTGAGGGATTTCCTTTTTGGCTCCTTCCTCTTCATGGCCTTGTCCCCGGGCTGCCTCAGCTTGGCCAGGGGCGGCAAGCTCTGCCGGTACAGAGTCCTCTCAGGGATCCGCGCCACGCTGTCCGACGTGGGCCGCTCGCTCAGGGAGGGTCCGGTGCGCCGCAGGATCAGCTGCACGTCGCTGGCGTACTGTCCCCACTTGTTGAGGGACACGATGGGGTTCTCGTGCGGCGCCAGGTGCCGCTCCGTGTCCCGCCACTTCTCGATCAGCGTGTAGCGCCCGGTGCGCCCTGCAAGGGAGCACAGCGTCAGCGCGGCCGCGGGGGGGCGCCACCGCTCCGCCCGTGAGGGACGGCACCGGGACGCGGTGGGACAGCACCGGGACAAGGGGACACGGCAGGACAGGACGCTCCCGTCCCCCGCAGACTGTTGCAGCGCATCTGCCTCTGTCGCAGCACACGCTGCCCGCACATCACCTCTAAACCCTCTAAACCCTCCCCGCGCAGGGCGGGAGCGGCAGCAGTGAAGGACTGACACCGCGAGAACCGCGGAACTGCGCAATCCCGGGCTGCCAGCAGGCTGGGACGGACTGGGATTCATGGAATCGCATGTGGTTTGGGTTGGAATGGATCTAAAGATCAGCCAGTTCCATCCCCCTGCCATGACAGGGACACCTTCCACTATCCCAGCTTGTTCAGAGCCCCATCCATCCTGGCCTTGGACACTGCCAGTGACCCCAGGGGCAGCCACAGCTTCTCTGGAACAACCTGAGCCCGGGCCTCACCACCCTCACAGGGAACAATAAAGCAAGTGACCCGGCAGTGTTGGTAACCACGACATAAATATGAGAACCTCCAGGCCAAGAAAACAAGAACAGGAGTCCCAGAAATATCAAATGTGGAGGCAGTGTGTTTGCTGTTACACTTTCATCAATCAGAGGCAGCTGTTAATGACTGACAGAGCCTCAGCTCCCCTGGTCATGCCCTCCAGTTCATTCAGACACTGATCCAAGCTAGGGCATAGCCTCTGATGCCCATGGCAGTGCTGCTTATGTGACAAACCTTCACTGAGGAGAGCACAGGGACAAGAGCAGCAGAAGCTGCCTGAACTGTGAATGAGCAATCGGGCTCCCTGCCCAATGTCATCATGTGTAACAGCGGCTCCCACATGCCCACTGGGATCCCAGCCTTCAGAAAGAAGCTTGAGTCTTTCTGTAAATGCTGAGTTTTTCTAATCACTCCATTGACAATACAACTTATGTTCATGGCTTCATTTGGGTTCTTATCAAACACACTTAAATTCAGTTCACCAGTCTTCCTCCTCCAACACCACTTAAGGGATATTTTTCTAAGCACTCGCACTACTCTGAAATACAGCATGCTCCCTCTCCAAAAGAGTTTCCCCTGTCAAAGTAACTTCGCTTAAAAGCCACATTATTTACAAAAAGATGGGAAAGATCAACTGCTTTTAAAGCATTTCATGCTAATGAGTTTCTGAACAGCTCCACAATTGCCATTAACCTTAAAAACGTCATTAGCTACTTTAATGCATTACCTACATTAATTTTCACGAGAAATGATCATTCAAATAATTTATTTCAAGACATAAAAGCCTGAAATACCTGTCATATATCCAACTACAAAGGGGAGGAGTCATTATCAGCAGTAATGCATTTGATGTGTTCTCTTATGTTATACTACGTTCCCAATTATCACACTTTTCTCAAAAGGACAAAAATATCCTTATCTCAGGCTGGAGATCTACCCCTGACCTCCAGTTACAACACTCACATGGAGTCTTCACTTCAGATTTGTAAGAAACAAGCTGCACTGTGGTGCTTAACACACCATACACCCCTCTAAAATAAAGCACTGCCTTCTAAAGAGCTTCCCAAGCTACAGCCGCTGCATTGGAAATGTTCCTCTGTTCTCACTTTCTCATAATTCCTCTGTTCTCACTTTCTCATAATTAACTCCCAAAGCAACGACTAAGAACAAAAACTCTGCAGAGGCACCACCTGGAGAACAGGAGGTTGTGGCTCACGGCTCATCCCAGGGGGATTGCTGTCCCAGTCAGAAACCAAAATATCCATGTTCACTTCCAAGTTAGCAGTAAGGACTGAAAGATTTGGCTGATGGAAGTCAGGAAAACAAGGCAGGTGGCATGAGAACAGGAATCCACCACCTCAAATGCCATATAAATAAGTAACTCTAGGTAGGGTCTCGGGAAAAAAAAGTGGGAAAAAGTGGGGAAAAAACCCCAAACCTATCAGCATAACATGCTTGGCTAACAGTCTCAGAAAGAGATTTAAGGCTTATTCTAATAAAGTTCTTCAAAATCAAGTTTATAAAGGTATATGGTGTAAAGTGAGAGATTTTTGCTAACTCACAATATTGCTAGTTGATCCATGAAGATGTATAATTTGTAGTAGGCATGGGTATTGTTACAGGAAAAATAAACTGTTTGCCATAGCATATGGACAATAAATCCTGGAGTAGAAGAATTTAGTAAAAACACACCCCAGGACAAAGACTGCGCTGCACTGCTCTGTTTTGTTAATCTTAGAAATTTCCAGCTTGTAATCATGGTTGTGCTACTAATGTTCCTGTTATGTCAGAAACAATCAGGTTTAAAGTCCTGGAATTGCAAACAAGAGTAGGTACCACTAGGGGAGCGAGGAGAGTGCAGTTTCTATTTACTCTGCTATTAAATTCATTACTTAAAAGAAATGTAACAGGAGACGCAAAAAAAAAAAAAAAAGGAAAAGAAAGAAAAGGGGGAAAGGAGGATAAAACTCTAACAACCTTGACCAAAAGTGAATTAAAGAATTAAGCATAGACTTGCCAAGAACTATTTTCATCTTAGCTTAGGGTTCCAAATCAACACACAGCCCTAAATAATGAACTCGGCACTCAAGATCCACATAAAAGAAAGTGTTTTGTAGAAGTAATACTTGCACAGTTCAGCAACCAGACCTGGAGCTCAGGACTGCTCTAAAACAAAGCTGTTCTCTTCAGAGATCATTACCCAAGTCTAGTGCTCAGCCTGTGCATGACGCAGATTAACAATACCCAGACAACCACAACTGTGATGTTTGCCTGCATTAGAGGGGATTAATTCACAAATGAAAGGGTGAACGAGTTAATTTAGAACTAATGACAGAGTATTTCAGAACAGAGGCATCCCTGTAGCAAACTGCTGGTTTTGATGTGCAGCCACCTGCACTGACAAGGAGAAAGCAGCTTGCCTGGGTTGTTGATGAGGAACAGTTCAACACCTACATGCTGCTTCTTGCCCTGTGTGTTTGTCCACAAGCTTCTGCACACAAAAAACACCTGGCAGAACTCAGTCCAGCCTCATTCATGCAACCTTATTATTTTAAAAATTAAGTTAGAGTTGCATTCAGGTAACGGCCATGTATCAGCAATGCACAGCATTCCTCAAATGACAGTGTGTTTCTCCAGCTGAATATAATATTGAATCACACCCAGAACTTGGCAATGTCTCCATGGAAGGTTCAGTGACCAGTTCAGCAGTGAATCCCCCTAAAATTTCTGAAAGAAAATTTTGCTTTAACTGCAACTAGAACATATTAGACTTATTTTTTTTAAATACTTCTATCAAAACCTTGTATTGATGGGAATGGTAGAGAAAACCATCCAGACAGGCCCTAAAATAGCACAAATAGTGCTGTGTTCTGTAGTTTCCTCTTCAGAAAAGAGGAATTAAAGGGCTGGAAAAAGCACTGAACCTCTGCACCCCATTTCAGGTTCAGCCAGTTAATGGGCAGCAGGAGAAAGGTGGTTCTGCTCTGCTGAGACCGCCCCCCCCCGCCCCAGCAGGACTGCATCCAGCTTTGGGATCCCAGCACAGGAAGGAGTGGGAGCTGCTGGAGCCAGGCCAGTGCAGGGACACCAAGGGGATCAGAGGGATGGAGCAGTTCTGCTATGAGGAAAGGCTGAGGGAAGTCAGAGTGTTCAGCCTGGGTAGAAGAAGGCTTTGGGATGACCTCATTGTGGCCTTCCAGTGCCTGAAGGGAGCCCACAGGAAAGATGGGGAGAGATGCTTGACAAGGGACAGGACAAGAGGCAATGGCTTCACACTGACAGAGAAGGTTTAGATTGGGTATGAGGAATAAATTGTTCCCTGTCAGGGTGGTGAGGCCCTGGCACAGGTTGCCCAGAGAAGCTGTGACTGCCCCTGGATCCCTGGCAGTGTCCAAGTCCAGACAGGGCTCTGAGCAAGCTGGGATAGTGAAAGGTGTCCCTGCCCATGGCAGTGGGCTGGGATGGGATGATCTTTAGGATCCCTTCCAACCCAGGCCATTCTGTGATTACTACATGGTCCCCAGAATGGGGACCCTACATGTGCCATATGATACTGCCATCTTAAAACAATCCCCAAGAACTTGGATCTGTTTTGCAGACAGCAAATGACAAGCAGTAACAGAAAGAGACACATATTTACATCCCTAAAGCACACTGCACTAAGGGCATCTGCACTAAGGGCAGTGTCAAGGTTAATAGGTTAAGTTTCTACCTACAGCTCCCTAAGCACACAAACTTATCACAGGTTCTATTAATACAGGCACATCTTCAAAAGAATAATTTATTTCAAAATTGAGAAAGACATCAAGAAAGGAAATATACAGAATCCAGACTGCTGATGTTCTGACACCCTGCAAATAGTGGTCATGAGTGGTTTGAATCTGGATCTCCTATGACGTTGAACGGCAAACTGCATTCAGTGTTCTAGATCTGGCTCTGCTGCACAGCCAAACACATGCCATGTGCCCAGCCACTGTAGTCTTAGCTTGGGATTGATATCATTGATGTAATTTACTAGTTTAAACACAGATTCCATTATAATGAACAGTGATTAAACTAATGAAATATAGGTACACGGTAATGAACATTTTTTTAGACTCAAGAAGCAGATTTTTAAATTTTACTCCATGAAGGTAGTAGGACAACATTACTCACTTCAAGCTCCTCTATATGCTTTAGTATTTGCAGCTGACACAGTAGACAGAGCAACCATTGCTGCTGCCAAAAGTGAAAATGAAACTCCAAAGGAAAGCAGCAGTAGCAACACTCTTGGCAGGACTGTAACCTGGGAGGTCATCAATTCCCTTTTTCAGAACAGAAATTATTCACTCCATTAATCCCACCCAAAAGTCCATCATCCTCTACAAGCAAAGCCTTTCAGGCACTACATTTATTTTGCTATGCAGGTAGTATTGTACAACATGAAAAAAAAAACAACCCGTGTCTTATCTTTCCCATCAGGC